TGTTAGATATACAAAGATAAGTCCTTCCCTTCAAGAGTCTATAATCTAGTACAAAAACTTATTGAATGCCTCTTGGGTAAATAATGATAGTAATTAAATTCATATAGGAAGGAAAGAGCTCCAAAAACTGTATATGCTGTATGTATTGCTCTCCTCTTTGACATTTCTAAGCCTTTTCTATAACTTTCGCTTTTATGCAGTAAGTACATACATTATGGCTCAAACCAGCATAGCTATTTTGTAAAACATGGATTTGTAAATTAATGGACTATGCAATTTACTTGCTATTCTCATGGCTAATTATTTCTCTTTTGACCAAGCATTTAGACTTTGAAAGCCCCAGAGTTTTGAATACCGATGTTGTCATATCAAAATACTTGTTGCTGAGAAATATATAAAATATGGGCAATTCAGATGTACCTCTGGTACAGTGGTTTGCAAAGTATGAGTCAGGGACCACAGCCTCAGCTGGGACTGCATTAGAAGTGCAAATTCTCTTGGCCCCCCCAACCTACTGATTCATAATCTCTGGGGTGGGGCCCGGCAATCTGTATTTTAACACACTGAAGTGTGAGAACTGGCGAAGTGTAGTCCTTCAAACACACTTGCACTCACTTGTGGATACCATTCAAGGCAGATAAAGCAAGTACATGATTATCCAAGAGGGGAGATGTGTACATGAGACCCTGATTCATTGTTTTGTACTTTATTGGAGTCTGCTTCAGGTGCTAACCACAGTTGAGGCAGAAAACATCTCCATGTCTGTGTTATAAATGTGTATGAGGTAGGTATAGTCAGGTGAAAAAATCTGCAAACCAAAGATTAGATCTTATCGCTGAGTAACAAAAAGCCACGAGCCTGTCATAATGTTTTCAAGTCCCGACGGCTGCCTGCTTGCTGCCTCAGAAGCCTCTCTCGGTGGATGCTCCCTGTGTTAACGTACGTCACTGTTAACTGGGGCTCTGGTGTTGCTCTCTGTCTCTGAGCTTGTCTGCTTCCTTTTTTCTTTTGGTTCACCTTTCCTCTGTTAGTCTCTTTTCTATAACAGAGACCTACTCTTATTTTGTTCTTATTGATTTAATGTACTGTACTTGTGGAAGAGTTTTACATTCTCTTTTCTTAATTTTAAAAGCGAACAAAAGGGATATTTGTTATCAAGAGGTAAAAACTAAATGAGATTACATTGCTTTTAAATTTATGTTGCCCTTTGTGGTTTTATGAGGGGTTTTTTTCCTTCCCCTCCTCTCTAGCTAGAAAAATCTTTGGGAAAAAGTTTGTTAGAGGGATTGGATTTTATTTTTATTATTATTAAATTATTTATTGTTAATTTTATTATTATATTTTTTGTAAAGTTTGAGCCCAGTTCCTCCTTAGTTACAAAAATAAAGGAGACGATTATATTCTGTCTGAAGTAATAAGGCCCAATTAGTGTGGGAAACCCTCCAGGTCCCCTTTCTGTGTCCTATTCCTTCCACACACCTCGCCCCACTCTCTCCAATCTTTTACAGAGCCTCGTGGACTGATAAGGCCTTCTTCTTTTAGGTCATCCACTTTCCCTTTATTTTTGTGGGTGTGTTTGCATTAAAGTATATCATGCATACAGAAAAAGGCACAGGTCATGAGTGTACATCGGGAGGAATTTTCACAAAGTGAACATACCCCTGTAATCATACCCAGATCAAGAGGTGGAACATTACCAGCGTCCAGATGCCCTCCCTGCCACGTGCCTTCCCCAGTCACTCCCACCTCCTCCCAAGGTAAACATAATCCTGAATCCTAAAATCATAGACTCATTTTGCCTATTTTTGGGCTTTATATAAATGGCATCATACCATATGTATTATTCTGTGTCCGGTGTCTTTAAGTCAACATTATGTTCATGAGATTCATCTGTGTGTTGCAGGTAGCATTAGTTTATTTTCGTTGCAGTATTATATTTATGTTGTGAGAACATACCACGACTCATTTCTGCATTCTGCTGTTGATGAACATTGGGCGTGTTTCCAGTTTAGGGATATTACAGATTCTTGTACGTGTCCTTTGGTATCATATGTACGCATTTGTTTTGAGCATTTCCTAGGAATAGGATTGCTACATCATAGGATATCCATACATTGAACTTAGCAGAGACGATAAACAGTTTGCCAAAGTGGTTGTGACAAGCAACACTCCTGCCAGCAGTGTTTGAGAGTTCTAGTTGCTTCACATCCTTTCTAGCACTTAGTTTCAGCCATTCTGGTGGGTATGTAGTGGGTCCCTCTTTGTGGCTTTAATTTGCATTTGCCTGGTAACTGATGATGTTGAGCACCAGTGTTTGTTAATCTTTTAGATAGCCTCTTTTGTGAAATTCCTTTTCAGATCTTTGCACACTTTTCTATTGGGTTGTCTGTCTTGTTGCTTTTTAGGAGTTCATCAGATATTCTGGATAGGAGCCCACTGGTGGATGTATGTTTTACATATATTCTCCTACTCTGTGTCTTGATGAATACACGTTCCTAATTTTAATAGGCTTCAGTCCTTCCTTTATGATCCTGTTAAAGAAACCTCTGCCTCTATCAGAAAGATGTTCTTCCATATTATAGTCTAGACTCTTTAGGTCTACATTTAAATATACAATCCAGCTGGAATTGATTTTTATATAAGGTTTGAGGTGGGGTTCAGTATTTATTTTCGTCTATGTATATTATCTCAGGACCATTAAGATTTCATTTTTTTATTTTGCTTTTTGCCTAGTTTTTTTATAATAAACGTTTTTATTTTAGAATACTTTTCAATTTACAGAAAAGTCACACAGATAGTACAGAGAATTCCCATATACCTCTCGCCCAGTTCTCCCTGTTATCATCATCTTACATTACATGGTAATACATTTGTCATAGCTAAGGAATCAATATTGATGCATTATTATTAACTAATAATCCATACTTTATTCAGATCAGGACCATTAGTTTTTGACAAATGGAAGTGCTATTGAAGAGTGCTTTGAGACTACATCCTGTGAACTAAACCTTCAGTAACTAAGTCCACTGTAGTAAGAGTCAGCCGTCTTTGGTCTCAGCCTAAGCCAGAGAACTCGGCAGTGGTCAAGTAGTGTGAACTCAGATCCATGAGATCACTGGGAAGGAAGTGTGGAAATCCTACAGTTAAAGGCCCTCTAGGTTTGGGGTCAACATAAACTCTCATTCTTAGTTTTGAAAATTCTGCCTTTCTGAGTTTTAAAAGTATAATAGCCTTCTCCTTAAGTCCTGTAGACTTTAGTTTTGTAATCTTTAACCAGAGTTTAAAATACATTGATGATGAATAGCTTTTTTTATTTTTAGTCATCATGCTGTACATTACGTCCCCAGGACTTATTTATCTTATAACTGGAAGTTTGTACCTTTTGACCATCTTCACCCATTTCACCCACTACCACCTCTGGCAACTACCAATCTATTTTCTGTATCTATGAGTTCGAGTTTTTTTAGATTTAACATATAAGTGCAGTCATACAGTATTTGTCTTTCTCTGTCTGACTCATTTCACTTAGCATAATGCCCTCAAGATCTATCCATGTTGTCACAAATGGAAGGATTTCCTTCTTTTTTATGGCTGAATAATATTCCATTGTGTGTGTATATATCTATATCATATTTTCTTTATCCATTCATCTGTCAGTGGACACTTGAGTTGTTTCCATGTCTTGGCTATTGTAACTAATGCTGCAGTGAACATGGGTGTGCAGATATCTCTTCGAGATAGTGATTTCGTTTTCTTTGGATAAATACCCAGAAGTGGAATTGCTAGATCAAAGAGGGTAGTTCTATTTTTAATTTTTTGAGGAACTTCCATACTGGTTTTCCATAGTGGCCGCACCAATTTACATTTCCACCAACAGTACTCAAGGGTTCCCTTTTTCCACATCCTGGCTAACACGTGTTACTTCTTTTTGATAATAATTATTCTAACGTGTGTGGTGATACCTCATTGTGGTTTTGATTTGCATTTTCCTGATGATTAATGATGTAGAGCATCTTTTCATGTACCTGTTGGCCATGTCTTCTTTGGAAAAATGTCTGTTCAGATCCTCTGCTCATTTTTTAATAGGATTGTTTGGTTTTCTTTTCTGTTGAGTTGTATGTGTTCTTTATATATTTTGGATATTAACCCCTTATCAGATATATGATTTGCAAATTTTTCTCCCATTCCATAGGTTGCCTTTTCATTTATTCATGGTTTCCTTTGCTGTGTAGAAGCTTTTAAATTTGATGTAGTCTCACTTGTTTATTTTCGCTTTTGTTGACTTTGCTTTTGGTGTCACATCCAAAAAATCATTGCCAAGACCAAGGTCAAGGAGCTTACCACCTATGTTTTTTTCCACGAGTGTTATGGTTTCAGGTCTTAGGTTCAAGTCTTTAATCCATTTTGAGTTGATTTTTATGTATGGTGTAAGATAGTGGTCTGGTTTCATTCTGATAACAGCTTTTTAGAGAGTCGATATTAATGCCAGATGCCATGGGAAGGAGCCCTCAATGTGCCCCTTTGGCCTTCAGTGTGAGTGTGTGGTGAGCAGTGTGCCTGATCCAGTCTCCTCTCCCCTCCTCACCTTGGGCCTGGGGAGTGTCACCGCGACCCCTAGTTCTGAGGAAGGCAAGACAGACAGCCGTTGAGACCGCTAGACCTTTTACTGCCAACTTCCCCTGAAGACTTCACCATAACAAGCTTCAGTGGTCCTAGTGTGTTTCAAAGTGTTCCTGACAGTCTTGACTATTTTTACTTTTTAATTTAAAGTGCAGACTAAGCCCCAGTGACCATCTTTCACTTTGACAGCAGACGTTTAAATTATAGTGAGAAAGCAAGGAAAGCCAGCCAGCCAGCCCCATTAATATTTTATGAAATATTCATTGTTCCTTAACCTGCCGTGACCCCTATCCTGGACGACACTTTTATAGCTGACATGTTGACCCCGGATGCACACATGCACACCCGGGTCGCTTTGCCCTTGTCCCGCCTCTCCTCAGTACCATGAGCTCCCGACACTCTGCCAGCCCGGTTATCTTCACCAGTGCCCGAAGTTCACCCAAAGAAGAGCTTCATCCTGCCACCTCCTCGCAGCTTGCACCTTCCTTCTCCTCCTCCTCCTCCTCTTCATCTGGTCCTAGGACTTTCTACCCTCGCCAGGGTGCTACTAGCAAGTACCTGATTGGGTGGAAAAAACCTGAAGGAACCATAAACTCCGTGGGATTCATGGACACAAGAAAGTAAGAAGTCTTTTGCTTCTCTTGCTGGGTGGTTTGCTTTTAATATGACACAGAACAGAAAGGTTGGGGCAATTTCTTACAACCGAGGAGGCCAGTCTTGGGGGGTGAGGAGGGGTTGGTTTGGTAGGGAAATTATTTTTTTTTCTTAGTAAAGCTTTACTTAAATTATTTCTCTACCTCATTCCTTAAAGAAGATATATTGCAAAACATTGGGATTTGAGATTCTTAGATCTCCTAGGAAAGAGAACATGTCTGTTGTGAAGAACAAACTTCAGTCCTCTGGTGCTACGACCATGCTTGTCCCTTTGATGATACTAATCACTGCCTCCCCATGTAATTCTTAACTGGGCCAGGAGGCACCAGAGGGAATATTAGAAAGTAAGCGACTACCCTTGAATATAAAGGACTTTTTGACCACGTACAGCAAAAGAAATAAATGATTCATTCAATTATTTTGTTTTTGTTTATACAAAGGCTGCGTTTGGGATTCATACCCTGTGGTCTTTATTAGTAAATCTGTTGCTAATTTTGCCTTAGTAGAGCTAATAGTTTCCTGTAAAAGAGTGATTTATTCATCAGACTTTTTATTTTGTGTTTCAACCTGGTTTTGTTTCTTTAACAAGCTTTTAGCCGAGTAGATTCAAATGTAAGTGAACAGAAGTAATCTTCCTTTTCTCTCCTTTAATATTTCCCCACTGACTTACATCCTTCAGAGCCCGTCGTGCCCTTGAGTCAGCCTTGTCAACTTAGTTTCTACCATCTCTTCCCTTCCTTTCAAGGCGTCATCAGAGTGATGGCAATGAAATAGCCCACACCAGGCTGCGTGCCTCAACCAGGGACCTCCGGGCATCCCCCAAGCCAACCTCCAAGTCCACCATTGAGGAGGATCTCAAGAAACTCATCGACCTTGAAAGCCCAACTCCAGAATCTCAGAAGAATTTTAAGGTACAGGACAGAGCTTGGGGTAAACAGCGGTTAAGAGAGGCCAGGCGGGATGGCGCCACTCACCGCAGTTGCACCCTCCAAGAAGTGTTGGTTCCCAGCTCCTCTTCATTGAAGCCCACTTCCCGCCATCACCTAGTCTTCCCAATAATTACTTCACAATGTTTTCCAAATGTTCTCTCCCTGCCGCCACTTCTCTTTGGTCCGGGTTTATATTAATCCACAGCTTTTTCTTCTTCCAGTGTGCCCTACTCACAGTGCACAAGCTACACTCTTTCATGAACATTATTACTCAGATGACATTGTTTCTCAAGTCTACAGAGACTCTTTTGGCTCTCTTGTAAGACAGAAAGTTTTCTATAAGGACTTTAGTGTCTTTTGTCTTAAGGGTCCCCCTCCTCCCGCAGATAGCCCCCAATTCACTTCCTGTCCAAATGCCCACAGTATCCAGCAGTCGGGCCTTGCCTCTGCCCCTGACCCTGGCCCGGCAAACCTACTGGCTATACATCGTGTGCTCTTCAGTCACTCAGAGAAACTACCTGAGGGACACTCACTCTTCTTTCCTCCACCCCCCAAAGCCACCTCTTCTTTCCAGCAAATAGGTCTACACACTTACCTGTAGAACTTTCTAGACTCTCTACTTCATAAAGCCTTCTCTCCACTTCCTTCTCAGAATTCCGGACTATAAATGCCTTCTCTAAACCCCGCCTCCCTCCCCATCAAGTCCCTTGCACTTGCTCAGAGTTTGTGTTTGTGTGTCTGTGGCCAGACCTTTGCATGACCACGTGGAAGGCTTCTTCTGCTCACCTCAGCTTGAAGGACCCCTGAAGCCTACTTAAGGCTCTCCTCTTTCTTGCCCTCTAAAGTCTTGTCCTCTGAAATGTTCAGTCTCACACTCCCAGGCTCAGAGCTGGTGTTTGTTGAGCAGGGCCCAAAAGTGTTTCACTCTGAGCATAAAGTATTTCTGTCTGCAGTGTGTTGGGCAGCCCCAGGAGAAAGGAGTCCACCCCAGAAAGGGCATGGCAGCAAACTTGGACATTTTCCATTCTCTAGGTTCTTAGTTAAATCATTTGTAGTCTGTTTAAAGTGACTAGAAAGCTTAACTTAAGAAGAACTTTGAGAATTGATTGAAAATGGAAGCTAAAATATTTCCACTCATCATCCTCAAACTGTGCTCAGAGTATAAGAGGCGTGCCCAACTGGATGAGCTGTGTGGTCTTATCCTGTTCAGGCTTTCTCATCACCATTCTAGTGTTTGTGCACACGTACATGCCTCTGTGTGTGTGCACACATGTGTGTTTTCCTCCTGATAGGTCAGATACTCCTCCTAAACTTAAAAATCATCCTTTACAGAAATTAAATATATTCCAAAGACCGTTCTGGAGTTTTTGCTGAGAAATAAATGATTTATTACATAAACATTAACATCATAAATCATTTTAAAGATTTGCTGTTCTTGATTTCTGTGATTTCTGTTTTATAAGCCAGCACTCAACAGTTCCGACTCATCACCCGGGGTACAAATAGTTTCCTTAGCAACCTCGCAAAAGATGGTGTTTAAGACTTCTTTCTTTATCCGTCAAAACCCGAAGAGGTGTACTAAAATGTTTAAGTACCAGTTTCAAAATAAAAATAATTTCAGATTTTTCCTTTGAGGTTAGAGGAAAATAAAACTTGCCTTGAAAGGAATCTTTCCTCCAATTCTTAGTTTAACGTTTTTGGAAAGGGGCAAGCTTCGGGCTTTCATTCTTTTGATTTACTCATGCAGTGGAAATAATTAAAAGCAAATGTCTATTTTGCCCTTCTTCCAGGTCTTGGCTTTTATTTCCAAAATGAATTACTTTAACATTCCTATTTGAAACAGGGGTGCACTTGCTTTACGTTGTGACTATATTGCCACGAGACCCTCTGCAAAGAAAGTGCTTCTGCTGGCTGAACTGTTACTGAAAAGGCTGGAAGCAAGGGCTGGAAATATGGTCTGTTTTCTCTCCAGCCTCACCCTGTTTGAGCTGGTTTGGTTTACTTTCAGCTAAGTAGCTCTATGTGTCTTCTGAGATTCGTCGTCTGAGTGACCTGGCTCTGCTGTGTCAGTAAGGCCAGCATGCCCTGGAGAAGTCTTCCAAGCCATACCTGGCTCCGGGCTCCAGGCCACTGTGTCAGGCTTTGGGGAACCAGGAGTGGCCGGCTTTGGGCTGTGATACTTGGAACCCACTCACACCACACTGGCTTTCTTGGATGGCAAGTGCTACCTACCAGCGATCGTTAATATCAAATGACAGGGTCACTCCCAGGCTCGTTTGCCAGCAGACTGAGATGTCTGCTGCAGGACGTGGCAGCGCTCTGCAGGGCAGGCTGTAGCTGAGAGGTGGGTGGCTGCAGGGCCCCACGCAGTTGTTACAGAGCTCCTACCTCAAGGAAAATGGCAGAGTTGTAACATTCTAAGAAAGGTCATTGGCAGGCAAAGATGGGATAACCTTATTTTCCCTGAGGGCAGCAGTGGCAAGTGAACAGACAATAGTGCAAACCAATAGTCCTGCTTTCCAGCCAATGCTGTCAGGTATAAGCCAAGGGAAGAGGCTTAGGCAGCTCTAGTGTTAAGGAAGAGCTGATACTTGCTTATTGCAAGTGCCCATTTCACTGATAGCCAGGACTACTGAGAAGAGTGAGAGGAGAACAGGAGACTGACCTGGAGCAAGATGCCACCTCTCTACCTTGTTCCTCGGCTTAGAAATAGAGGACCAGAGTAGATCAGTGGTGCCCAAACCATTTTAAAGCTCAGGAACCCTTTTTTCAAATAAAATTGTACATGGAAGCCCAATATGTAGAACTGAGAAAGCAGAGTTTCTCTGATGAGAGGAGTGGGCATCATGGGCTCCTGGGTCCCACCTGAACATCTCTCCCCAAGCAGTGATGCTGCGAGGAACCCTTAGGGCTCCTTGGACACAGTTTGAAAACTGTCTGGCCTGAGGCTCTCTAAAATCTCTTCCAAGTCTGCCAGCCACTCCAGTGTGGTTCTTTCCCAGGGGCTGGCAGACCTGGGCAGTGCCACTCAGCAATCTCAGGTATGACCTGCAAGGAAGGTAGAGGGCGCTCTCAGGAACTGGATGGGGTGCACACTCTCAAGACTGGGATTGAATGGGGATGGGGTGAGGGGCCATCCCGACGTATCTGGACAAGACTAGGTCCTGCTACTTTTTAATGGGTAGAAAGGATCTAGGCAGATTGCTTCCATCTCCCACCCTGCCTCCCTTTAGTGCAGGATGTTGTAACTTGTAATAAAGCTATTTACTGCCTTGAAGTATATTAATATTTCCCAAAGAGGCTGAAACTATAATTGGTGGAAAATTTTTCTCCTGTAAAACCATCAGGGTGGGGATACTCACTGGAAAAGAAAATCCCTTTATTGAACCCAGAAGTGCTGACAAAGATTGAGAGCAGTGTTTGAACAGAGAGATCTGAGATCTGGCCTGGCAGGCAGGAGCCTAATGGGATAGTCCTCAAACCTTGCAGATGGAGGAGAGATGATCTGGTTTTTTAACTTTTTTTAAATTACAATTAGCAAGCCATTTAACCTCTCTAATGCCCTCTCTCCTCTGTAAAGTGAGAAGAGAAATTGTCATTTCCATACCAAGTTCCCTCCACTTACAGACTCACAAAGCATTTGTCACAGCAGCTTAGTTTTCTAGGCAGCATGTACGTACCTTGGGTTTAACTCATCAAGAATTTTAAAAAGTGAACATAATTGTTACAGAATTGGCTACACCTGGGGCTCGTTTACAATGCGTTTGATTAGTAATTTTTTCATATTATTTATGCAACAACTGTGCACGCCACATTGGGGGTGGCTCTGACTTGATTAACTCTTGGCTTGTTGGACAGAAGCGTGATAGACCCAGAGCACGTGAATGCATCCGAGCGCCAACTTTGTATTCTCAGCCTCCTAAATGGAGCCATTCCTGTATCGTTATCTCTCTGCCCCTTCAGGGTGTCATGGAAAGTCCCACGGTGGCTTTCTGCCTGAAGTGACTCAGCCTTCCTACTCACATCTTCACCTGTTCCCCAAATTGTTCTCCCTGCCAAGGTGAATGGCAGTCTGAGAGAAACTGAATAAAGATAGTGTTATTGTTAACAGACCGAATACTCTGTTGGCTTTCAGAAAGCTGGATATTTAAATATTGTTAGTGTCTGATGTTTCTCAGTGAATGGGATTCTCAGAAGCTTGCTTTTTGCAGAAAAATCTCAAGTAAAATCAAATCGGGTCACAAAGGCGAAAGACATCAACAGTAGACACAGCTATCTAGAACTTTTGTCATGTATATATAACTATATAAATATTTGTCATTTATAAAGGTGACTTCCCAATTTTTATTTCATGAATAGAAATCCATCTCAAAAAACAAATTATCTCCAAAACTCATTAAATATAATATTAGTGGTTAATGTTAAGAGCTACCTATTATTTGAGTTACTACATTGAGATGATCAGATGCTCTTTTGCCCAGCAAACATGTAATCACTTGACAAGCTTCTTAGGATACCTTCCTGACACTGGCTGTTCCCCTGGGGACCATAACATTATTTCATAATACCACTGAGATGCGCTGTTATGATCACTCCAGTGTTTCATTTAATCCTGAGAGATATTGTGCCCACATATGTGGAGTTGGGCTCAGAAAGATTACATGATTTGGTCAGTGACACAGGATTCAGATAAAATTCAAATTTGATCCTTGTCTTGTTCTTAACCATGACACGATATTGGTGAATCTACTAATCACATATCTGAATTATGTACTGAGCACTGATAGGCTGCAGGCAATATGCTAGGCTCTGGGGATATGATAACCAGGATGTCCCATTTTAGCTCCTAATGATGTAGACAGAGATGGTGGACCTGGAGGCTTCCTTGTTGGGTTCCAGGATTTAAAGGAGTGTGTCTAAGAGCAGCGATTCTGTTAACCCACCCTTCCCCCAACCTGGGTCTTTGGTATGTGACCCAGAAAATTGACTTTCTGTTGTCTTGACACTGTTTTTCAGTTCCAGGCGCTCTCCTCTCCTCAGTCTCCTTTCCCTACCACCCCCACCTCAAGGCGGGCCTTGCACAGAACGCTGTCGGATGAGAGTATTTACAGTGGCCAGAGGGAGCACTTTTTCACCTCAAGGGCTTCGCTTCTGGACCAAGCCCTACCCAATGACGTCCTCTTCAGTAGCACCTACCCTTCTCTCCCCAAGTCTCTTCCATTGCGGAGGCCTTCTTACACCTTGGGAATGAAGTCGCTACATGGTAAGTTTGCCTTTAGCTGCAGCTGCACAGCTCTGCTGATGATGGCCAGCGCCCTCAGAAACAGCTGCCACTGTGTTTGCTCAGAGAATGATAACTGGAGGAAGTCCTGCTTGCGTGCTCAGATTATCTCGGCTCACCAACCCCTCCCTCATTCAGCCCCTCACCTTTAATTCCCGACCACAGGGTACAGACATTCAACCTCACCAGACCATAAGAGTCATCTGGGATGCTTGTTGTTTTTGTTTTCTTTTTTTTGTTAATTGAGGTATAATTGACATATAACGTATTAGTTTCAGGTATACAACAATGATTTTATATTTGTATATATTGCAAAATGATCACCACAATGAGTCTAGTTAACATTTGTGACCATATATAGTTACAAATTTTTTTTCTTATGGTAAGAACTTTTAAGATTTACTCTCTTAGCAACTTTCAAATATGCAATACAGTATTATTAACTATAGGCACCATGTTGTATATTACATCCCATGACTTATTTGTCTTTGTCTGACATTTCATTTAGCATAATGCTGTCAGGGTCCATCCATGTTGTCACAAATGGCAAGATTTCATTATTTTTTATGGCTGAATAATATTCCATTATGTATATGTGTGTGTTTGTGTGTGTGTGTGTGTATACATATGTATACACACCATGTTTTCTTTATCCATTCATCCATCAATGGACGCTTAGGTTGATTCTGTATCTTGGCTGTTGTAAATAATGCTGCAATGAGCATAGGGGTGCATGTATCTTTTCAAGTTAATGTTTTCGTTTTCTTTGGATAAGTACCTGGAAGTGGAATTGCTACATCATATGGTAGTTCTATTTTGAGGAACCGCCATACTGTTTTCCATGCTGGCTGCACCAATTTGCATTCCTACCAACAGTGCACAGGGTTCCCTTTTCTCTACATCCTTAGCAACACTTGTTATTTTTGTCTTCTTGATAATAGCTATTCTAACAGGTGTGAGCTGATATTTTGTTGTGGTTTTGATTTGTATTTCCCTGATGATTAGTGGTGTTGAGCATCTTTTCATGTACCTATTGGCCACGTGTATGTTTCTTTTGGAAAAATATCTATTCAGATCTTCTGCCCATTTTTTAATCAGATTGTTTTTTTTTTCTATTGAGTTATATAGATATTACCCCCTTATCAGATACATGATTTGCAAATATTTTCTCCCATTTCGTAGGTTCCCTTTTCATTCTGTTGGTGGTTTCCTTTGCTGTGCAAGCTTTTTAGTTTGATATAGTCCACTTATTTATTTTTGGTTTTGTTGCCTGGGCTTTTGCTGTCAAATCCAAACAGTTGTCACCAAGGTCTATGTCAAGGAGCTTACCACCTATGTTTTCTTAATGGAGTTTTATGGTTTTAGGTCTTTAATCCATTTTGAGTTAATTTTTGTCCAGTTTTATTCTTTTGTATGTACCTGTCCAATTTTCCCAGCACCATTTATTGAAGGAACAATCCTTTCCCCATCGTGTGTGTTCTTGGCTCCTTTGTTGTAAATTAATTGACCATATATGCGTGGGTTTATTTCTGGACTCTCTATTCTGTTCCATTGACCTACGTGTCTGTTTTTATGCCAATACCACACTGTTTTGATGACTATAGCTTTATAATATAGTTTGAAATCAGAAAGTGTGATGCTTCCAGCTTTGTTCTTTCCCAAGATTGCTTTGGCTATTTGGGATCTATTGTGGTTTCATACAAATTTTAGGATTGTTTGTTCTATTTCTGTGAAAAATGCCATTGGAATTTTGATAGAGATTGCATTGAATCTGTAGATTGCTTTGGGTAGTGTGGACATTTTAACAATATTAATTCTTCCAATCCATGAGCTAAGAATATCTTTCATCAATGTCTTATAGTTTTCAATGTACAAGTCTTTCACCACCTTGGTTAAATTTATGCCTAGGTATTTTATTCCTTTTGATGCAATTGTGAGTAGGATTGTTTTCTTAATTTCTCTTTCTGATAATTTTTTGTTAGTTTATAGAAAGGCAACAGATTTTTGCATATTGATTTTATATCCTGAAACTTTACTGATTCATTTATTCTATTAGTTTTTGGTGGAGTCTCTAGGGTTCTCTAATACAGTATTATGTCATCTGCAAATAGTGAGTTTTACTTCTTCCTTTCCGATTTGGATGCCTTTTATTTCTTTATCTTGTCTCATTGCTCTGGCTAGGATTTCCAATACTATGTTGAATAAAAGTGGTGAGAGTGGATATCCTTGTCTTGTTCCTGATGTTAGAGAAAAAGCTTTCAGCTTTTTACGATTGAGTATGGTGTTAGCTGTGGGCTTGTCATATACGGCCTTTATTATGTTGAGGTATGTTCCCCCGATACCTACTTTGTTGAGAGTTTTTATTATAAATGGATGTTAGATTTTGTCAAATGCTTTTTGTGCATCTGTTGAAAGGATTGTATGATTTTTTTCATTTCGTTAATCTGGTGTATCACATTGATTTGCTGATGTTGAACCATTCTTGCATCCCTAGAATAAATCCCACTTGATCATGATGTGTGATCCTTTTAATGTATTGTTAAATTCAGTCTGCTAATGTTTTGTTGAGAATTTTCACATCTATATTTATCAGGGATTTTGGCTTGTAAGTTTCTTGTGGCATCCCTGTCTAGTTTTGGTATCAGGGTAATGCTAGTCTTGTAAAATGAGTTTGGAAGTGTTCCCTCTGCTTCTGTTTTTTGGAAGAGTTTGAGAAGGATTGGTATTGATTCTTCTTTGAATGTTTGGTAGAATTCACTAGTGAAGCCCTCTGGTCTTGGACTTTTGTCTGTTGGGAGGTTTGTGATTACTGATTCAGTCTCCTTACCAGTAATCGGTCTGTTCAGATTTTCTATTTCTTCATGATTCAGTCTTGGTACACTATATCTTTCTAGGCATTTATGCATTTCTTCTAAGTTGTCCAATTTGTTGGCATATAATTGTTCATAGTAATCTCTTATGGTCCTTTCTATTTTTGTGGTATCAGTTGTAACATCTCCTCCTTCATTTCTGATTTTATTTATTTGAGTCTTCTTTTTTTCTTGGTGAGTCTGTCTAAAGATTTGTCAATTTTATTGATCTTCTCAAAGAATCAGCTCTCAGTTTCATCTTCTCTATTGTCTTTTTTGTGTCTATTTCATTTATTTCCACTCTGATCTTTATTTCCTTCCTTCTACTAACTTTGGGCTTTATTTGTTCTTCTTTTTCTAGTTCCTTGAGGTGTAAAGTTAGGTTGTTTGAGGCCTTTCTTGTTACTTGAGGTTGGCATTTATTGCTGTGAACTTCCCTCTTAGAACTGCTTTTGCTGCATCTCCTAAGTTTTGGTATATCGTATTTCCATTTTCATTTGTCTCAAGGTATTTTTTGATTTCTCTGTTGATTTCTTCTTTGACCCATTGGTTGTTCAGTAGCATGTTGTTTAATCACCACTATTTATGAATTTTCTAGTTTTCTGCTTGTAATTAATTTCCAGTTTTATACCATGGTGGTAGGAAAAAATGCTTGATATGATTTCAGTCTTCTGAAATTTTTTTTGTGTGTGTGTGTCAGGAAGATCAGCCCTGAGCTAACATCGTGCTAATCCTCCTCTTTTTGCTGAGGAAGACTGGCCCTGGGCTAACATCCGTGCCTGTCTTCCTCTACTTTATATGGGATGCCGCCACAGCATGGCTTAACAAGCAGTGCGTCGGTGTGTGCCCGGGATCCAAACCAGCGAACCCCGGGCCACCACAGCGGAGCATGCGCACTTAACCGCTTGTGCCACCAGGCCGGCCCCAGTCTTCTTAAATTTATTAAGACTTGTTTTATGGCCTAAAATCTGATCTATCCTGGAGAATGTTCCATGTACACTTGAGAAGAATGTGTTTTCTCTTGCTTTTGGATGGAATGTTCTGTATATATCTGTTAAGTCCATCTGGCTAATGTGTCATTTAAGGCCAATGTTTCCTTATTGATTTTCTGTCTGGATGATCTATCTGTTGATGAAAGTAGAGTATTAAAGTCCCTTCCTATTATTGTATTGCTATCTGTTTCTCCCTTTAGGTCTATTAATATTCGCTTTATATGTTTAGGTGTTCCTATGTTGGGTGCATAAATATTTACAAATGTTATATCCTTTTATTGGATTGACTCCTTTATGATTATGTAATGCCCTTCTTTGTCTTTTATTACAGTCTTGTCTTAAAGTCTATTTTGTCTGATATAAGTATAGCTACCCCAGCTTACTTTTGGTTTCCATTTGCATGGAATATCTTTTTCCATTCTTCACTTTCAGTCTGTGTGTCCTTATATCTGAAGTGAGTTTTTGTAGGCAACATATAAATGGGTCTTGTTTTTTTATTCATTCAGTCACTCTATGTCTTTTGATTGGAAAACATAGTCCATTTACATTTAAAGTAATTATTGGTAAGTGTGTCCTTATTGCCATTTTGTTAATTGTTTCTGGCTGTTTTGTAATTCTTCTGTTCCTTTCTTCTTTGCTCTCTTCCTTTGTGGTTTGATGACTTTCTGTAGTGGTATGCTTAAGTTCCTTTCTCTTTCTCTTTTGTGTATCTACCATAGGTTTTTGCTTTGTGGTTACCGTGGGGCTTACATATAACAGGTTATATGTTTAATAGTCTATTTTCAGTTGATGACAGCTTAAGTTTAAATGTATTTTAAATCTATACATTTTTACTCTCCCCCCCCAACGTTTTATATTTTTGATGTCATAATTTACATCCTTTTATCTGTGTGTCTCTTAACTATTACAGTTATTTTTACTACTTTTGTCTTTTAACCTCCATACTAGCCTTATAAGTGGTTAAGCTACCACTTTCACTATATATTTGCCTTTTCCAGTGAGATTTATACTTTCATGTTTTCTTGTTACTAATTAGCACCCTTTCTTTTCAGCTTAAAGAAGTCCCTTAATATTTCTTATAAGGCCAGTCTAGTTGTGTTGAACTCCTTTTAGCTTTTGCTTGTCTGGAAAACTCCTTTTCTCTCCTTCAATTCTGAATGACAACATTACTGGTTAGAGTATTTTTTTGTTTGGCAGTTTTTTTCTGTCAGTACTTTGAATACATTGTGTCACCCCTTCTGGCTCGCAAAGTTTCTGCTGAAAAATCTGCTGATAGTCTTATGGGGGTTCCGTTGTATGTAACAAGTTGTTTTCCTATTGCTGCTTTAAGATTCTCTCCTTGTCTTTAACTTTTGACATTTTAATTATAATGTGTCTTGGTGGGGGTTTCTTTGGGTTCATTTTATTTGGAACTCTCTGAACTTCCTGGATCTGGATGTCTGTTTCCTTCCCCAGTTTAGGGCAGTTTTCAGCCCCCTTCCTTCTCTCTCCTCTATAATATGTGAATGTTGATCTGCTTAATGCTATCCCATTAGTGCCTTAAGCTATCTTCACTCTTTTTCATTCTTTTTCCTTTTTGCTGCTCTGATTGGGTGAGTTTCACTGTCCTGTCTTTGAGTTCAGTGATCCTTTTTTCTGCTTTATTTAGTCTGCTGTTTGGTATTTTTCAGTTCATTTATTGTATTTCAGCTCTGTGACTTCCATTTGGTACTTTTTTATATTTTCTCTCTCTTTGTTGAAGTTCTCACTTCGTGCATCCATTCTTCTCCCAAGCTTGGTGAACATCTTTATGACCATTATTTTGAACTGTTTATCAGGTAAATCACTTATCTCCATTTCATTAAGGTCTATTTTTGAAATTTTATCTTGTCCTTTTGTTTGGAATGTATTCCTTTGTTTCTTCATTTTCCTTGACACTCTATATCAGTTTCTACGCATTAGATGAAATAGCCACCTCTCCTAGTCTTGAAAGAGTGGCCTCATGTAGGAGATGAACCTCATTGTTCAACACTGCCCTAGCTCTTGCTTGTCTCTCAAACCTTTGTGATTGTCCAAGCAGCCTACTTTATTTTTAATAGCTCCCAGTACTTGAGGGTATGCTAAGTCCTGTCATTGTCCCAAAGAAGAGGATCTCAGTCAGCATCTAGATTCAGGCTGATTGGAAGCCAGACCCTCTGGCAGCAGCTTTTAAATAAAGCATGTAAGTGTATAGATTGCTGTGTAGCTCACACATAAGCACTGCTGGCCACTAGAGCCGGATGATCTAGAGATGTCCCCTGTGCAGCAATCACAAAAATCACAGTACCAGATGAGTGTATAAGCTCCTTGTACAACTTGGACTGAGACAGGGGGGCAAGTTGGACTGAGACAGGGGGAGAGTGCAAAGATGGCGTCTAAGAGCTCTCTTCCCTGAGAGCACCTCCCCAGGACCCTAGTCGTGTGCCAAACCTAAAGCCTGCCTTTCGGCCAAAGCTCCATAATAAGCAGATAGGCCTCTTTCCCAGCAAGACTGGTTTGCTTCGCTCTGCTCTCTCTGCAATGCTTTTGCGGTGGCAGCGCCTGCCAAGAACTGTCTCTCTGATTATTATAGTCCCATGGGACCCAGGGACACAAGCCCTCTTGGCCACCAGAGCCAGATGATCAAGGGGCACCCCCTAGGTGGCAACTGCAACAGCCAGGGCAACAGATGCATGTAAAAGCTCCCCTCTGGGATGCTTGTTAAAAATACAGATTCCCAGACCTTACCCAAGACCCACTGAATTTGAATACAAAGGTATAGTTTGGGAATTGGTATTTTTACCAAACATCCCAGCTGCTGTATGATTAGGCAAATTTGGCTACCACTAGATTAGTTATTTCTTAGAGACTTATGTCCATTGGCTTCTTCCAGCTACTATAAGAAATAAGAACTCAGACTTGCCATTGTTTTCTATCTTTGTTAGACTGTGAGGATACTGCTGGTGGTGTCAGTCATTCATTTGTTGACTTTTTCACTCATTCATTCAGTAAGCAAGCATTGTTTTAAGAAAAGGAGTACTGCTGATGGGGCTCCTCCTGGTTCATAAATGCCTTGTTTGCTCTATGATCTAACTAAATCCCAATTTCAGTAAGGGCCGTATTCTGGGACGGTAGATTTCGCTTTGTTCTTTTCCTCTTTCCTCTGTCCAGCTCCCTTCCAGGGTTCTGCACCTACCCTCCCCGCTGTGATCCAGCACAGCAGATACCTGTTATGGAACTTGTCTTCGTGCTTGTTTACTATACATAGCGGTAACCCCACCTCCTATCCGCCCTTTTCCTTCTGGGAATTCTTTTTTTGTTTTTTTATGATTTTATTTATTTATTTATTTTTCTCCCAAAGCCCCAGTAGATAGTTGTATGTCATAGCTGCACATCCTTCTAGTTGCTGTGCGTGGGACACGGCCTCAGCATGGCCGGAGAAGTGGTGCATCGGTGCGCACCCGGGATCCGAACCCGGGCCGCCAGCAGCGTAGTGTGCGCACTTAACCGCTAAGCCACGGGGCCGGCCCCTCCTTCTGGGAATTCTGTGTCCATTCATACCCACATTTCTTTTCCTTCTGCTGCTTCTCTGGAGCAGTATTTTCTTTAAATCTCCTGCTTTCCTGGTTTGCTGCTCCCTGCATCATTCTTGAGCTCTCAACTCACTCTCATGAATGTTCCTCCATCATCTCTCTGCTGCTCACTGGTCCCCTACACAGTCCCCTTCTTCCCCATCACTCAGGACAGCTTCCCCTGGCTCCTTCCCCCGAGTCGGACTGCAGCTTGAGTTTGGTTTCTTTTTGCTCCAAGAGGTCACTCCCAGTGAACCAAAGTTGACACAAAATGACCACTTTTTACTATCCAGAATCTAGAAAAATCCTCCTAGTAGTGATCTAATGGTCCCCACCTTGGGGCCACTCTCAGACCATTTCGCCTACAATTCCCTGCCTGCCTTGAATGCTTCTCACTTCCCAGCACTTTTTTTTTAATACCTTTGCAGCAATGAGTATAAACTCTTTGTGAAGGCTTGTCTGTATGTGTCACGTCAAAGTAGGCCATGTCTTCTAGAAGCTTACATTATATGAGAGCAGCCTGAAAATCCCACACACGGTCATGTCCAGCTGAGGAAGCCTAGAGTTAAAGGCCGGGCCCTGAGGAAGGGAGAGAAGGAGGCGCCCCTCTGAGCACCTTCCCATCACCTCTTCTTCTTTCCTGAAAGGCAGGCAGCAACGCAGTGATCCCATGTCCTAACTGAGCAGCCCTTGTAGGGCTGATCCCTCAGCCCCGGCCTGGTTCGCTGTGAACACCGCTGAAATGTGTTTGGGCGGTGGGGAGGGGCGACTTCGTTTTTCCCCATATGGAAATTTGGGGCCCAGAGATAAAAGGGCAGAAGGGTTGTGAGTGACACACAAAATTGTCTGTTCTACCTACTTACCCTTGGTGGGAGCAAGTTTAAATAGAATTGAGCATTTAATATCTGGCAGTATTTGTTGATTTCCATTTACTCATAATTTTGCTAATTTTAAGCACGTTAATAACTAGCAGCTGCACTTCAGTGCAGTTCTTTATGTAACTTGAAAGGGAAAATGAGCAGTAAATATACTCTGGTTTATCAGGCTACCATAATTGACCAAACTTTTTAACTCCTTGTAAACAGGTATTTCTGGAGTCATTTACAGATTTTAACTAAGGGCTTCACCTTTAGCTCTGGGTTTGCATGAATTTTAGTGTCACAGTCACATTCTGAGGGCGGCCCCTCTCATGGAAGGGCACCCTTTGCCCTTATTTCTGCCCCAGCTTCTGCCCTAGTGAGAGCATTTACATTTCATGAGCTGTGTTGCCCTGGCCCCACCAGCCTGCCCTCTCTGTTCTCCGCCTACGTGAGCTTGAGCAGTAGCAGCTTGCCCTGAGATGGCACAGAGTGGCTCATTGCACGTGTTCCTCGCTGCCCCAGGCTGAGCAGAGATTAGCTGTTACAGTAGTTTAATGTTTGTATTGAAGAGTTGTCACCGTAGAAGGGGCTCGGGATGTTGGGGTGCTGTAAACCAGAACTGATCCCAGGAGTAGCTGATTGTAGCTGATCCTCGGGAAGGGGAACGATGCCCTCCCCAGTCCTCACATCACCTCCTGTGTCACTCCGTCTGGGTAACCCAGCACTCACACATGATCTGATGGTCCTCACACCACCCTGGATACATCCAGCTGCAGAAACCAGCAGGCCGTCCCCACGACACAGGGCAGACGTGGGCCAGGGGTGCATCTGTCCCTCACCAGTCCCAGGGACACAGGGAGTCCACAGGGAGGGTGGGTCAGATCCCAGGTTCCAGTGCAGATAAAAATAAACCTATCACCCCCTCAAACAGGGATCAGCGAGCCTCCCCAGTCTGGCTCCAAAGCCCAGCCCTCTGTGGAAACAGGCCTCCGCCCCAACCTGCATCCCTTGACTCGTGAGGAGAAGCGAGGCGCTGGAGCTGCTCCGGGTCCCACTGTAGACAGCCGGCTCCCACCAAAGCAGACACGTTGCCTCAGTGCAAAACTGACTTCCATGACTTGCCCTACTGGAGATGAGATAGTGGGGGGTTATAAAAAAAGGATGAAGACTGGAGGAAGCCAATCCTAGTTCAACTCCACTTTAGAAGGGCCACGATGGCCTGTTGGACTAGAAACTGATTCCAGGTTAACGAGTGACTTACACATCTATTGTGGTGACAGGAAGTGGGTAAGGTCTTCTCACTGTGGAAGTGAGAAGTATCTCATCCCTTGTCCCTTCCCGCAGGAGAGTTCTCGGCCTCGGACAGCTCCCTCACCGACATCCAGGAGACCCGCAGGCCCATGCCCGACCCGGGCCTGATGCCCCTTCCTGACTCTGCCGCCGACTTGGATTGGTCCAACTTGGTGGATGCTGCCAAGGCCTATGAGGGTGAGTTGAGGGAAGATCCAGGCAGGACAGCCCAGGACCCGGCGGGGCCACGCCGAGGTGTGGGCAGTGTGAGTACTCTGGGCAAGTCTCTGTGCAGAGACTTCTCTGCACACACTGACGGCACACGCACTTCGCTGCCACAGCCGGAAACCAGTTGAGCTGATGACTACTGAGCACTCAGCGGGGGCACAGGTCCTCTGAGTTAATCAGGTGGAACCTAGTGTCTCCTCTACACAGGAATTCATTGCATGGATGCCTCGCCTGCCCGAATATGGGAAGGGCAGAGAGTAGCAGAATCCCAGCTGTCACTTGACTGAAAAGAGCACGTATCCAGAGAGAGTCTTTCATCGCGTTGTAAAGACATCATTGCCAAGTGTACAGCTGCGTCTGCTAGGATGCGTGTCCTGCTTGGCCCTGCCCAGTCCCGACAAATGTTGGGCGCTCCCTTTGGCCTCCTCATTCATCTCCCGTGTGGGGTGGCACGTTTTCTGTCTGCCTTGTTCCTGTGCCAACCAGCTGGCTGTGTGCTTGCTGTGAGCCAGTGGTTCCTAAAGGCAGGCCCTCAACTGGTGCTGGCCTGCTCTGCTGAGACGTAAAAAACTAAAAGTAACACTGCTGTGTTGACGTGAGGTTGTCATACGTCTTTTTTCTTAATAGACTGACTTTATTCTAAGATTATCCTTCCAAATTTTCTGGTGCTAAAATGTTCTTTGTAAAATGACGATGATAACAGGTGATTGGTTTCTGTTTTCATCGCTCTACTTTGGAAGAATTGAAAGTTGCTATTCAGTCAAGCTCCAGTTTTTGGGGAAAATCAACTAGGCCACAGAATCCAGAAGTCAGGCAACCATGGAGCAGTCAGCGACGAATCCCCGTTTTAGCCGATGGCAACTCCCCAGTATTAACTTGATTTTTAAATTTCAATTTGTTGGTCACCCTCCTTCATATAAAATGGTAGAAGTTTTGTTTTTGTAATGGGAGATTTTTTTTTTTAAAGTTTGATTTTGTTTTCTTGGCTCAAGCTCTAAGTTGGTGTATTTTGAAGCACAGGTGGTGTGGACCTAGGATAAAGCCCGCCACGGGTGGCCAGTGTCTTGTGGAAAATGTACTTCAAGAAGTCTCAAGAAGCTTACTACTGGCTCTTTAATGCATTTTGTATCATTGCTGAGTGGAAAGCCTTGGTCTGGAAATTTGGCACAAGACCTGTTTCCAGGGAAACAGTTAATTGAATGCTACTTTGATGAGCTGGGGAAAAGCAGGATTGGAAATTGATTCACAACAACTATTTTTAAAGAGAAATTACAATGCTACTACCCTCTTACAGCTAAAACAGTAGTAATTTTTTCCTGGAAGTGTTGGGAGGTAAGGTTTCTGGTGCCTTCCTGCACTTTGGTTAGATTGGACTGGCCATGTAGGCCATTTGTTGACTTCTGATAGGTAGGGCCCAAGATGTGGTTCCAAAATACCGAATGGTTTCTTATTTCCTTTCCAGTCCAGAGAGCCTCGTTCTTTGCTGCTAGTGATGAAAACCATCGCCCTCTGAGTGCTGCATCGAACAGCGACCAGCTTGAGGACCAGGCCCTGGTCCAGATGAAGTCTTACAGCAGGTGGGTCACCCAGTGGCGAGGGCACCACTCTGTACCACGTGTCACCTCCACTAGTGACAGCAGACGTGCAGAAGAGGAGATGGAGACCATATGAAGCTTTTCTCCACAGGGCCAGCACTTCACATTCTAGTTAGAACACTTTGTAACCAAATACTGTAAACACAATTAAAGTGTCCTTGATGACTTAAAGTTGTAATTATGAATATTCATTTTTATTTAATACTGTAATACATTTATGTCCTCAAGGCTAATTAGGTAAGGCAAGAGAAGTCATTTGCACTAAATATCCCCAGATTCCTGTGCAATTAGTCCTTGGGTATGGATTTTGAGTCTCGTCCCCGGCTGTCAGTTGGTCATGCTCGTGAATGTGCCTGTGTCTTAACAGCTCCCAACACGCTGCTTCAATCTACTGTGTTCGAAAGCTGGGTCACCATGCCAGTTAAGATTGTATGTAAAATAAAAAGTAAGCGATAACTGAGGCCAGAGGGTTTTCTTATGAGTTAAGAGCATGGACTTGAACTTCTGTTTAACTGTGCAGAAGCTGACTTTTCCATTTTCCCCTCAGTTTCAAACGCTGAAGTTGTTGGATAAATGGGTGATATTCCTATATATTAATGCTTCACAGCAGGCAGCCATGGAACATGTAGTAAGCACTCTTCAATGCAGAATAATTTCATCAATTTGAAATCTTTTCTCTTAAAACCTTTTGAGGATGATTAAGAATCCAGGTATCTATAAAACTTGGTCAGAAACAGACAATGACAGGAAAAGTGAGGTTGGTATGGATTGCACACATCCTGTGGGATGTGCAGGTCTAAGCAGGTCTCTAAGCAGGTCTGCAAGGAAACGCTCTTAGCAGAGCACGTATAGGAGTAACGGGTCATTAGTTATGAGACTAAAGGACAGTGGCTTCATTTACTCTTATCATTAGGACAGCTGGGGCAGGAGAGTGGCAGTTAGTTTGGCTGTTGAGAACTTGAAAAGAAAAATCGCAGAGTCGAGGAGAGAGATCCAAATGTACCTTTTTAGGATGAGGCTTCCAACAAAGAGAAGTCTGAGTGAGCAAAATCCATTTTCCTGAGAAAGGATTATTGAACAGTTCTTACAGTTTTGCAGACTCATGAGATGAGGGTGGTGGTTGGCTCTTTTCTGTGTTCAGTGTGGATGAACAAATGCAAATGGAATTAAATATATTTTAAAAAATGATCAGTGCACATACAGAATCCATTTTGAAAACCTTCAGAAGTCCAGATAGGCTGCTGAGAGCTGCTTCAGTCCTGACAGCCTGCCGTGGCCAGGTCAGCCCTGCCAGGAGCTGGGACAGTGGACTCGGCAGGTGAAGGGCGCCCCCAGCCTCAGTGCTTCTGTTCAGCACCACCCTGCTCTATGACATCTTTGGCCTTGAACCCACCCAAATCTGACCAGCTGGTTGCACCACACTGTGCGGTTGTAGATGGCAGCCGGCCACTTCCCTTTTAAAGATTTTATTTATTTATTTTTCCCCCAAAGCCCCAGTACATAGTTGTATGTCATAGCTGCACATCCTTCTAGTTGCTGTATGTGGGACGCGGCCTCACCATGGCTGGAGGAGTGGTGCCTCGGTGCGCACCCAGGATCCGAACCCAGGCCGCCGGCAGCGGAGACCACGCACTTAACCGCTAAGCCACGGGGCCGGCCCCCACTTCCCTTTTAAAATCCATTCGTTGTCAGCTTTTAATTGGTTGTCCTGTCTTAGAAATTTGGAAGTCATTATTATTTCCTTCATGTACAGCCTTGTGACATTCCGTGCCACTGTGGGTTTTGCCTTTGGGGCCTGTTTTAGATCTAGAATTAGCAGAAGACGTCAACACAGCTCATCGTAGGTCAGGAATTCTAACTTGAACTTTGACTTTTAAAGTAAAGAATACCTTTTATTCCATGATTCTAAAAATTCTGAGTCATTCCATCTTCCCCTTTGACCTCTGGAAAGAGGCCGCCACATGTGACCCCAGTGGTGGGCTTTCAATTCTCGGTTGTGTGACTGAGGTGTGCCCGGCTGGAACTCACTCAGGAACTTTCCGCAGCTTAAATTCAGGTGGAGGAGAGTGGGGGAAGAGTGGCTGACAAGGGTCTTCAGCCCTTGCCCGGCCGGGTCATCTGTCCAGCTAGTTGGGTGGCCTCCTCGTCCTCCAGCTCCCCCTTCCTTTGGTACTCCACTAGCGTGGCATTATTAGCGCTTAAATGGGAGGAAAATAAATAAGAAAATTGTGGGCATTATAGTTTGCTGATCATAATAGCAAAGAACTTAAGATATTAAGGTTGGACTGACAAGCTTTTGAAACATGTAGTCTTATCTTAAAAATATTTAAAGATATTTAGACTAGTTTTTAAGACATGAGCATAAGAACTTAGCTGCAGCTGGATGAGTGGCCACAGACTTTATTTTCTGGGGAACCAGAGAGCTGCCCTGTCCCGGCTGCCCCAAGGCAGAACCTCCGTCAACCCCACCCCTCCCCGTGTGCACACGCAGAGGAGTAGCTCTCTTCTCGAAGCCACTGAAGAGATAGGAATCACTTCACTGTTTGACAGTTGTGTCTGCCAGAAAGTACCTCTTGTGCCACCAAAGAGACCATTTTCACTTACTGTCCTATATTCTTTTGTCACAAAGATACAGCATCTTTAACAGAGGAAGCTGTTGACTGGCTGTAGTTCATGCTTGTATTACCTTTTGTTAAGATTACCATTTTCTTTTTTAAAGTGAATATGCACATGGGGTCGCCATACTGAGTAATTTGACATTGAAAACCATTTTAGAAGTAGCCGCTTCATTAAAAAACTACCAGACAAACCCAGCCATGGAGGCTCCTGCCAACGTGGTATTTTGTTTCTTGTTCCCAGCAGTAAAGACTCCTCGCCCACTCTGGCTTCTAAAGTGGACCAACTGGAAGGTATGCTGAAGATGCTTCGGGAGGATTTGAAGAAGGTAAACAGCTATTCTCAAAGCACATTGCCCGGTCTGTGCACACTGCCCCTGAACTGTGAGAGCCCTTTTTATGTTGTGTTAGTGGGATAAGAGGTGGGTGTTTTCCCTGTTTCCTTCGTACACGCACGTGTTTAGGGGGCTGCTCAGTTCCCCCTACACACACAGTCAAGAAAACCTTCTTTGTCACATGGGCAGAAAAGTTGCTCGCTTTTTTGTGAAAGCCCTTGACCCTCAGCCAGCCCTCTCCTGGCCTCCCCTCCCCTAGTATAATGTGTCAGTAGCCCGGACCCACATGTTGTCCTTGTTATTCAGGTTTTCACACCAAGAATTGAATGATGTTTTGTTTCTTGAGTGGCTGCGAATGTATTAAGACAGCAGCCGCCAAAACAATAGTCTAAAATTTAAGCCAGTCCTGATTATTAAAATATGCAGTAATGTATTTACATTCCAAAATAAATCTGTAGCGAGTGTCCCTGGAAATCTGTTCCTGGGGTAGAGTATCTTAACGCCCAGTACCAGGCCCTGTGGACAGCTGTTGAGTGGAATGGAGATGGAAATGGACAAACAGATCCATAGCTCCTCCTCTAGCAGCTGGGTGAGGTGGGGCCCCACCCTCAGTTCTTTTCTACTCTCCTCTACCTCCCAGGAAAAGGAAGACAAAGCCCACCTTCAGGCGGAAGTTCAGCACTTGCGAGAGGACAACCTGAGGCTGCAGGAGGAGTCCCAGAATGCCTCCGACAAGCTGAAGAAGTTCACGGAATGGGTCTTCAATACCATAGACATGAGCTAGGGCAGGCGGAGGTGGAGAGGAGAGGGGCCCGCGGGGAAGGCGCTCTCTGTGAGGCTTGCAAGCCCCTTGGTTACGCCATTGAAAGCATCCTCAGAGCGCCCTCCCCAGCTCCCTATGTCGCCCCCTTTCCGGGAGTGCACAACACAATTGCAGATCAACAGTCATTATCTGCCTTTTGTAGAAAAGAAAAACAAAAAAGTAAATAAAAATTTTAAAAAGTAAAATAAAAGTTTAACTGCTAAAATGTGAATGTCTTTATTTTTTTGCACAATATCTATATCTGTTATGTATTTAAAAAGAAACTGGGCCTAGGACCAGGGTCCTCCCTGGCCCATCTGCCTCTATTTCCATCAGCTCTTTTCTTATCTATTTCAGGTAACCCAAGCTTTCCCTAGTCATCCTGACAAACATCATTGTTCCTAGGAAAATAAAGTTTTTAAAAATTGTTTATTTAGGGAGTGGGGAGGGGGATTTCCTCACCTTTGTTCCTAAAATGCCTGGGGAGAGAGGGGCTCTTACAGAATGCCTGCCTCCCTGGAATGACTTGTGCATGAGCTACTGCTGTTTGTACCCATCTTGCAGAGACAGCAGGATCGGGGTCGTTTAACAATAGCAAATCAGTGAACCAGAGAGAGGCAGAGACAGTGCCTCTGGGCCACGCCCCTTTTTAATCCTGCATTGTGACATCACTTCTTTCCCCAGGGAGAGGTTCCCAGGTGCTGTGTGCTCCTCAGAGCTGGAGTCCTTTTTGTTTGGCTGCCGTGAGTCCCACTAAATTGAAATCAGCCTCTCTACCACTTCCTGGCTCCAAACACTAATTTGTTACAGAATTCCTCTGAGCTAGAATGTTATTATTTGTATGCATTTTGGCCAAAAGTATAGTTTTTGAGGTTTTTTTTTTTTTTTTTGTGAGGAAGATTAGCCCTGAGCTAACATCTGTTGCCAATCCTCCTCTTTTTCCTAAGGAAGATTGGCCCTGGGCTAACATCCGTGCCCATCTTCCTCTGCTTTATATGGGACGCCGTCACAGCATGGCTTGACAAGCAGTGCGTCAGTCCGTGCCCAGGATCCGACCCTACGAACCCCTGGCCGCCACAGCGGAGCACGTGAACTTAACTGCTACACCACTGGGCCTGTCCCTTTGAGAATTTTAAAGATGAAAATGTAGCAAAATTGTGTTTTTAGCTCACTCAAAATTACTATATGAATGGATCAAGAAATCCTCTCCAAAGCAAGACTTCACCAGTATTGGTAACTAGGAAAAGTGAATGTTAAATTGTGAATTTTCTTACTTGCTTGTGAGGAGCAATGACTGTGATAATAGAATGGGCTTTGAAACCTGCATGTCCCAGTGTGCAATTCCAGCACGGCATTGTCTGCATCTTTTTGTGGCCATCTGGAGGATTCTGCTGCAGAAATGAGTGATGTGCTATTTTCCTGTCTAGTGATGCAGCTGCCTTGGGCCCCTGGCCATCACTCCAAGGGCCTCTGTCCTCCCCAGCACAGAGACACTGGGCCCCTGGTGGCCTTGTTTCTTGCCTTCATGATTGCTTCAGTAGCGACTCTGGTCTAAGGGAACATTCAGCAATCTGGTGTCATCTGCTCAGAAGTTCCTGCCCCAAGTAATCTCAGCTCATTCCTCTCTCCATCCCTGAAAGAAATGGGATGAATTTTCCTCTCTTCTCCCCCCAACCCCCACGCCCAAACTTTTATGCTACAGTTTCATTCATGATTGTGGTTTCTCCATGATTTTTTTTTTTTCTGGTGACTTTTCTATCATGGAAATAGGAAGATTTCGGAGTGCTTTGTAAAGATCTAATTGTCTGTCTCTCTCTCTGACTTGTATGAAGGAGATTGTACATTGCCTGATATCTCTTTGTAAATGAGAAATATCGCTAACCTCCAAGCATTCTGAAGTCTTGCTTATCCTTCTGAGTTTAGTTTTCATTTTGTTTTACTTTTTGTCTGGGGACTTGGGGCAAGCTATTTATTAGAGTTTTGCAACAGAGTTCTTGTTTGAAGCCTTTAAAGACTACTTGTAAATTTCAAACAATAAAATTCATTTTAAACGCTCTTTTAAAATGCTTTGGTATTATTGCCTGAGGTTTTCTTATTTGAAAGACCACCCAACAACTCACTGACCCTCCTTGCCTCTTAATCTTTTCTTCAGGCTCTGTTAACGCTAAAGATGATTCTTGAACGTTTCTGTCCCTTTTAGAATTTTAATAAGCTTTTTTACCCTTTGTCCACAGGTCCATAGAGAATTCCTAATTTGGCTTCTCCGCTTATGATTTAATATTTGCAGAGGACTTTATAATTAGTTCACTCTTCGTTATGCATGTGTGGATTTTCCATAACATTGTCAGTCCCTGAGACCACCACATTTAAAAGGACCACCTCTCCTGCATCTCCCAAGTCTCAATGTTAGATGTGTGCACAAGGAATACAAATGCCTGTTAATATTAGGCTGTGCAAAATATAATTAGAAAAATTAATCTACTGAAAAAAATCATAATGCATTCCAAAGCCAAATGGAGCCAAATTTTTTAAATCTACCACATCACTGTTCCTCTCCAGTGGTGCAGCTAATTGAGAGCTGACAGAGTTTCTTCCTTTTATTTGGTTCAACGGTTCTACAAATCCTAGAATTACAAGACAGAGTAAGACTGGATGCCACAAGATACTCTGATTAGCAAGCTAAAAGGTCTGTTTGGACCATGATTCTTACCTGGTTTGGAGGCTTTATACACTTTTTCTGAAAGTCTTGGACATGCATTGGGAGTCCCTAGGACAAGGTCCCTTTGGCCTGCAGGGGTGGAGGATCTGCATCTAGGAGCTGACTGGAAGGGCCAATTGGCTGCGTGCCATATCTGCTGCAGGAGATAAACAGGGTTGAGTTGGATTACTAACTCTTTAGATGGGGATAAAAATGGTAGTCCAAGGACAAAGGAAATAGGCCCAGGAAGCTTAAGCCATTTGCCTCTAGTTAAATGTAGAATGATGACCTGAACAGATTCCCATCTCACTCTCTCTAGATATGTTCCTTTAATTATGGTGCTGCCTCCCCCGAATGAACAGAATTGCAATTAAAGTGCAAGATGACATGCCTTGGTCAGAAACTCACATAACCAGTAAAGATTGGGGCACTGTTAAACATGAACTGTGTTACATTAAAGAATGCTAGCACAGGAATGTTGGATGCCTTTTCCCTGTGTGGATTATGCCACTAAAGACCTGTCCATAAGGAATCATCATCCTCTGATAAAGACTTTTGACTTTGGCTGGGAGTCAAATCCCATCTATTACGTAGCAGCTTTGTCTGGGCAAATTACCTAATCTCTGTGAGCTTGGTTTCCCCATCTGCTAAAATAGTAACAGCCTCATATATTGTTTTAAGGATTAAATGGGATCATATGTGCAAAGCCAGTGACTGGGTTATTGTAGACAATAAACATGTCTTCCCTTGTCCTTCATCTCCAACGTGTTAAGGCTTTTATGTTGTTTTTGTAGGAGGGAGTCCTGACACGTTAATAGCAGAATGGGATGGAAGAGCCAGAATGAGCTCGTCCACTCTGCTCGATGTCATTCAGGTGCTTGTAACCCTTTGCTATATGTTTGATTTATTTATTTATTTATTTTGTGAGGAAGATGAGCTGCTGAGCTGACATCCATGCTAATCCTCCTCTTTTTGCTGAGGAAGACCGACCGGCTCTGAGCTAACATCCATTGCCAATCCTCCTCCTTTTTTTACCCCCCCCGCCAAGGCCCCAGTAGATAGTCGTACGTCATAGTTGCACATCCTTCTAGTTGCTGTATGTGGGACGAGGCCTCAGCATGGCCGGGAAGCAGTGCGTCGGTGCGCGCCCGGGATCCGAACCCGGGCCGCCAGTAGTGGAGCGCGCGCACTCAACCGCTAAGCCACGGGGCCGGCCCTGCTATGTTTTAAATCAGTGACTCTCAAACTTGAGCTTGCATCAGAATCACTGCGAGGATTTGTTAAAACACAGGGCGCTGGGCCGCATCCCCATGATCTGTGACTTAGGTCTGGAAGGGGAACTTGGTATTTATAGTTTCTACAAAAGTTCCCAGGTGATGAAGCAGGGCTGTTGAAGAATAAGGGTAGCAGGTGCGTACCCACACGCATTAGTAATTAAAAGAAATAGATGCTACAGTGCGAGGCACTTAACCATGTCTAGACACTTGAGTATTATTTTAACAGGTTAGCTGACCAGAGAGCACCTTGCAGAAGGAAATAGGCTTAAACTATAGCTAAAGAGAGTTTAGTTAGGTAAAAGAAAGAACTTTCTTTTCTTTTTTTGCTAAAAAGGTAATTTACAGGCCCCTTTGCATGAACATTTCTGCCACCTATTTTAAATTCCTGCATTTCCTGGATGGGACTGGAGTGTCCTCACCACCATTAATGGTATGAAACGGGTTACTAGGTCAGCAAGGAATGATGTTGGTGACCTTGAGGGGCTGACAGTCTGGATGGCAGTACTGCTGAGGAAAGCAGGGCCTGGGATGGCAATGGAAGAGCCCTTAGCCAGGCCACACAGGGGCGCAAAGACTGGGAGACTTTGTTCCAGGCTGGGAGCGTGGAACTCCAGTCACCGACTTCCAAATTCAGCCCAGCCTGCTCACCCCAGTCTCCAAGAGCCCATCAAACCTCAAAGTTACTAGACAAGCAAATCTCCCAACAGCCATCATATCTGCCTCAAACTTAAGAAATCTTTACCTAAATCCTCATGCTGCAAACAGCGCATTTTCTCTGCTATGGTCTGGAGAGAAGGAAAGGGTTGCTTATCCTCTCTATCCTGTAGATAAGCTGCAGCTCAAAGACTTGAAGACATACTGTCTTTTCTGAAAAGATCATTATAACTTTGGTTTTATTTTCAAATGCTTTGGCTCCTTGCTGTCGTTTCCGCAGATCTCCTGCCTCTCCCCAGGCCTGCCAGCTCCCTGGATTCCTCATCAGATAAGCGCTTCCTATCCCCCATCCTTGCAAATCCAACATCTCTTGTCATGCCTTCCTGCATCTGAGTCATCACACCTGTGACCCAAGAGAGCATCCACCCTCCCCTTCTCTCATGCCTCTCATCGTACCTTTCACCGTGCTTGCCTTTAGTCCTGTGAACGTGCATAGCTCAACTTTCCTTTCATTACTTCCTCTAAATGAGCACATTTC